TCTAAACAATAATAACTATTTTATTACTTGAGTGACGGAAATAATTCCCACTCCAATAGCTATGGCAACATAATAGAGAGAATAACTCATAGACTTATCCCAAATCACATTTAAATCTGACTCTTCAGCGAAGACAGCGACTAATAGACCAAATAAATAGGAATAAACGGGAACAACAAATCCATACAAAAGCGAACAAAAAAGCCCACAAAATATATAATATTTATCGATTGCAAGCATTTTTAAGAGTCTGGTTTGGGAGAAATTTTTGAGCCCTTCCTCCACTACTTCTGGCTCAATATTGTCGTGAATTTTGCTATTGAGCGCTGAATTGGCTGAACTACTGATGACACTTATAGACCTAAACATCGCTGGCTTATAAGACATCGGATCGTTATCCACGTCGTCGTAAGGATTCTGGATTTTGGGAACAATTATCTTGTTTTTACTGCTCATCTGTTGTGTGATAACTAGATTGAAATACAATCCTTTTTTGTTCATCAATTCTCTATGAGTTCCCGTTTCCAAGACGTGTCCGTTTTCTATGAATATAATTCTGTCTGAATTGACAATTGTTGACAGTCTGTGGGCGACAATAATAGTGGTTCTGCCCTTTGAGGCCTTGTCCAGTGCCGACTGGACTAACGCTTCGGATTGTAAGTCGAGCGCAGAGGTCGCCTCGTCCAGCAATAATATCTTGGGCTTATTAATCAAAGCCCTGGCGATTGCGATCCGTTGTTTTTGGCCTCCACTCAGTTGCGCCCCTCTGTCGCCCACATATGTCGAGTAATTGTCCGGTAATTTACTGATAAATTCGTGAGCGTTGGACTCCATGGCCGCCACTTCTATGTCCTTTTGAGTGACACTTGCATTATGTGAACCCAAACTAATGTTTTCCTTAATTGAAGTGTCGAAGAGCACCGGTTCCTGACCGACGACACCGATCTGTTCCCTAAGCCATCCCAGATTCAAGTCTTTTCCTTTTGAGTGACACTTGCATTATGTGAACCCAAACTAATGTTTTCCTTAATTGAAGTGTCGAAGAGCACCGGTTCCTGACCGACGACACCGATCTGTTCCCTAAGCCATCCCAGATTCAAGTCTTTAATATCGTGTCCGTCTATGAAAACGCCTCCCGATATGGGGTCATAAAATCGCTGAATGAGTTGAATTAGTGTAGACTTTCCACAACCTAATGTACAAATTTGGGTCACAATTATAATAATACTGCTATACTATTGTCAATTCTGTACTCTTTTAAGATACATAAATTTATATTTTATAACTAACAAATTATTTGCTTTATTTAGTTTGCATATTATAATTGGATTGTATGTAAATTAATGTAATTTAAATTGGTTTCAGACCTGAAGGGCCGACGAGTGCCACTGTTTCTCCGGCGTTTATTTTCAAGTTAAAAGTCTCTAAAATGTTTACTTCCGGACGCATTGGATAACTAAAGTGGATGTCTCTAAATTCTATATCAGCGCTAAAAGTTTGTGGTGTTTTCCCGCTTTTGGATGAGATATCAATTTTTGGCTTTCTTTCAATTATATCGAAGATAACAGCAGCTGTTCCTCGAGCCATATTAATGGCCTCAAAGTGTGGGGCAGCCGCTCCTGTATAGCAGTTAAATTATACATTCATTATCAAATCGTTATACTATACATACTGTATGTGAATATATTGATTATAACTGTTTACCAATATTGTAGCCAGCACTTAATACGGACCAAAATATAATAACAATCTTTCCAATGGTATACTCGTCTGAGTGCTCCTCCATTGAGCCGATGGTCAATTTGACGCCAAACCAAATGCCTAAAGCCATCCCGAAATATAGGGTCGAGTAAAGGACTCCATTTCCTAATCCTGTGATAAAATTCCTTTTGATTCCACTTCTCATCGCTGGCACCAAATTCTTCTCATATCTGTTCACTTCTTTTGCTTCTCCGCCGAACGCATAGACAGTTCTAACCGCAGAAATCACTTCTTCGGCCACATTGCCGGCCGACGCGTATGACTCCATCTCTTTGCGCGCAAACGATGCCTGAACCTAATGACCGGGTTTTGGTTAAACCATTATTTTACAAGTTATACAATTGCTGTAATGATTTGATTACTTTATTCATGATTGCGGTGGCGATTGCGGTGAAAGGAGAGATCGCTAACACAACAAGCGTTAGTTTCCAGCCGTAAATGAAGGCGAGTATTAGGTTTAGACAGACGGCTACTATTGAATATATTGCGAGACCTAACTTCTCGTTGAGGCCGTCTTCAACGCGCTTCAAATCACTGAAATTGAAACCATTTTATTACAAAACAATTAATTAACTAATAAATGAGTAGTGAATTTATACGCTGAGACTCTTGAAGCGAAATCGCCCGAAGATTTTGAATCAAACCACGAGATCTCTTGTTTGAGAACGGACTCAAAGTATTTAATCTTAATGGTATGGATTTGACTCAAAGCGGCCAATGGAAAGAATGTGGTCATTAAATAATTGGATAAAGTGATGACAATCCAACCAATGAACAATATAATACTTAGATTGTATACTTCGCCCATAAATTCATCACTGGTTATGATATCAATAGTAGTGTCTTCGATGCCATTTAATGTGGCATTTCTTCCCTTTTCATAATTAACAAACACGTCGACAATAGATCCAAACAAAGTGTTGAGTATAGGCCACGACATACTGGCGAGTATTGATCCGATGACACCGATTCCCATAAATACTTTGTCCTCCCGTTTGGCATATTTGAACTGAAAGTATATAATGTCTTAATGTAAAGTGATAGTTTAATAATACTTTATGTTATTTTTTAATGTAAAGTATAGACTCACTAATTGAAGGAAAGAAACGGCCCGTACTTTTGGTTCATCGTTTGTATTCTCCTCTAAATCTTTACCTTTTTTGCTAAATTATGATTTGTAATTAATTCATTGAAAATGGTAATTTAAATAATGAATATAATTTCTTATTATAGAGAAAATTTTACCTCTCTGTCATATTCAGATCTAATTTTATAGACTATTATAAGTTATTCAAAAATAAAAGAGAAAATAATAAAAATGAAAGTTAGATATTTCTATAATTATTAGCTTGCTTGTGCTTCATTTTATAGACTTTTATAAAACAATTGATGTTTATGATCATGATAATAACTCGAATTTACAATTTCAATTAAATATTTATCATAAGTCATAAAATTACTGTTAAACAATAATCCACAAGTTTGAGAGAACAACGAGTTTGTGTAAGGGGTCGTTCTCAAAGTACGTTGCACTTGGGGGGAGGGGATGTGCCGTAGAATACCAATTGAAATATTGATCTATTT